AAAAATAGTGCTTACACATTTTCAAAATTTTACTTTTCGAGTTTCTTTTTGTTGCAAATTAATCAATTACATCTTCAAAGTTAATTTGTGAAGCCAATTCACGTTCTATAGATATTGTTCCTTTATTTGTTAATTTTTCTTATGACATTGTTGACCTTAGATAGTTCTTAATTATTTTCAATTTACTAAAACTTCTTTCGCAAGTGGCAGTCGTCACCAATATAGCCAAAAATATTCTTAGTGCAATTTCAGTATTAGGATAAACATATTTTAAAGAATATTTATGGATATATTTTAGTAGTTCTAAAGGAATAGCTTGTTTAAAATTATCCTTTAAATTCGGAGCTTGATTTTTAAAACACTCTAGCTGAGTACAAAGCAAATCCATTGAGGTCTTCTGAGTACTTCATAGCTAAATCTTTTGACCACTAACATATATATACATATATCTTCTGATTTTATATTAAATAATTTGTTTCCATTTGAAAATCCAAAACTTGATACAACTTTTTCCATCTGTTCGTATCTCCAGCTAAAATTAAAAACAATCGAGTCGAAAGCTAAATAGCATTCTCTTTTTAGTTCTTTTTCTGCTTTTAATTTTCGTTCGTCATTTGGTAAATCGTCAAAATATCTTTTGACAATTTTTGAACGTTTTTCTTCAAAAGGAATGTTTAAAAATGTAGCTTTTTCTTTTGTTTATTGAAAACTCAAATACATTATTTCTGATATTCATTATAGACGATACTAACTCTTTTAACATATGTGAAGTCGTATCTATTATTTATATTATGAAACATAATAATTTTTACATTACCGGAGACTTAAGATTAATTATATTATACACTATAGCGATTTGTAGGTTAATTTGCCTAAAAAATTTTGGAGAGGCTTCAAGGAATTCGAGGTGGACTTCATCCCCTTTATGCTTCCCTAGTTATGCTTATGCTTGTGACACATATATGGCCATACGGGAGAAATTTATAAATTTGATCAAATAATAGTAAATATCATACTCTAAGAGTTGGAAGTAAAGGCGATGGTGGTTGAAAAATGTTTCATTATTTAGGATATTTTCTAGTATAGAAAATATTTTTATATCTTATAAAGGGAATTGAAAAGTAAAAATACATATGATATTATAACTTAAGTTTAAATCAATGTCAGGTAATAATGGACTGATAGATAATTTGTATATCAGAAAAAATTAAGAGTTTTTTTAAGTATGAAAATAAGAATCAACAACTATAATTATGAATTTCTTGTTGTAGGAAAATATGTTTCATCAATTGAAAAATATCGTATAAGTGGTTTTAATTATTGTTATTACTATTATTATGAAATATGATTAAATACCACTATATGGATGATAAAGTACTCCCTACTCTTCAATAGACCGAATCACATAATGATAATTGACCAACGAAACTATGAAACGTAGGAGTTGTTTGCTCGGCCTGTGTTAAATTTTTAGATTATTCTTATTGCATTGAAATTTCCGGATTACGGTGATATTTTTCTCCAAATATAATTTTCCAATAGAATTTGAATAAATCATTTTAATTAATTTGACAAAATATAAATTAATAATCATAACAAGTATAATTGCAAGTTTCATTTTATTTTAAAATTACGTAGGGAGTGCTATCGCACCATCGCACGTGCGCCTTAACACGAGTCGCCACTGCATATAAATAATTATTTTGTAATAAAATCTAGAACCCTACAGCTCTAAAACATATATTAATATATGAACTATAATTTATTAAATTTAATATAATTATAATAGTCAACTACTTACCGTATAAGTTTTTGAAGATCTTCATGCAATTATGCAAGCTTCGCAAACTCGTATAAAATTATTAAAATATATTGAAATACGAGTATCTATATTATTATTGTTCTGTGTTTGTGATATTATTACTTAATTATTAAATAATATGTATATGTGCCGAGGGAGAAATACAAATAGCATACAACCAATATTACAAGACACATTATCTTCACTAGAAAAATGGTCGGCTACTTTTGGCTATCGCTTTTCCGCCACAAAATCACAGTGCATCATCTTCTCTCAACTCAGAAAATACCAGAAACTGCAAATCAAAATAAATGATCTTCAAATCGCAACCTCTAAGACTATCAAGATTTTAGGCATCATATTCGATAGCAAAAATACTTGGTGCACACACCTAAGAGAATTACGAAAAGTGTCCGCTATAAGAATTAACACCCTCAAGGCACTTGCACATACCTCATGGGGAGCTAACTCACTTTCCCTCAAACAGATCTACAAATCCATCATACTATCCAACCTCGAATACGGTTCCTTCCTCTTCATAAATGCCAAACCATCACATCTCAAAACCATTGAAACGATACACAATTCCGGATTAAGGCTAGTTTCTGGAGCATTTAGATCCAGTCCCACCTCCAGCTTATATAACATCACCAATACCCCTCCAATACACCTAATAAAAATATTACAATACACCTAAGAAAAAAAAAATACTATGCTCTTTTATATAAGGCTAATCCAAAATAATCTCAAGACACACCGAATCATCAAAGACGAACTTCTACATATATCCATCGACCCATCCGTGGTCATTAAACACGAAAACCTCAAAGTCCCCCCATGGATCTTAAATATAGATGTAAATCTTTCAATATCAGACCTACTCAAAAGCAAAACTCTACCAAAAACGTATAACAGTGAACTACAATCATTGCTCGAAGACTACAAAGAATACACAATTTTTTTCACAGATGAGTCAAAAACGGACGAAGGAGTAGGTTCCTCTGTGATATACAAAGAGAATAAAATAATGATCAAGATTCCAAACTCATGTACAATTTCTTCCGCTGAAGCCATCGCAATTTCTCACTTACTCGATATCATTAAACAAAATAAAATAACTAAATCCATCATACTCAGTGACTCTCTAAGCACCATAACCAACGTCCAAAACTATCTTCAACCTAACGACATTAGCAGAAAGATTCAAAACCAAATATCGTCTTTAGAACTCCAATCTCAATCAATCACTATGATTTGGATCCCAAGTCACGCTGGAATCCAAGGAAATGAATTAGCAGACACATACGCCAAACAAGCTATTACCTCTCCTGATGCATATCAAATTAATATCCATACCCTACAAGACAGCAAAAACATAATTAACAAATTTATAACAAATCAATGGCAACAGATATGGCAAATAATGCAGACCAAACTTAATGAGATAACACCCTCAATATACCCATGGCCAGTTACATCTTCACCTCGTAGGCAGGAAGTAATCCTCAACAGATTAAGAATTGGCCACACATGGTTGACCCACGGACACCTCATGAACAGAACGGATCCTGTCCTATGTCCAACCTGTGGAGTAACTCTCACAGTCTAACATTTAATTTGCAACTGCCTAAAATATAGAGACATCAAGAACAGTCTAGAAATATCCGACAACCTCCAGCAAGCACTAAGTCCAGACCCTGAAAATGTTTACAAAATTTTTAAATTTTTAAAATTAACAAAAATGTACAATTTAATTTAATATAACTCTTTATGTATTCAGTTGTACCTCCCTTCAATATTCAATTATAACTTTAGATTAAAAAGTCAATAACCATTGTAGTTGTGGCTTCATCAATAAAAAAAAAAAAATAAATAAAAAAAATATGTATATATTGGTGGAAGATTTTAGATAAGAACTTTGGAATACTGTTTTTATCTATAATATGCAGTATTGCATCTAATAAATATACACTACATATAAACATATTATAGGCCACCAATGTTCAACAGTTCTTAGAATATCAAATTATCTCTCGGTACATTATTATGACATCATATGATTTTGTAAATATAACTATAAATTGAAAACAATTTTGTGTATATTATAAATAAAATTTATTGTGTACATACCTATATTATTAATAAAGTCATAGGTATAAAAATATTTAAATTCTATTTTTTGCGCCCTTTTTTTTTGTTGCGCCTCTGGCATGGGCCAGTCTCGCCAAGTCCTTGCTACGGCTCTGCCCGAGAGTGCTCGTCTGCGCTGCAAGAGTTAGAGGAAAAGTTAAGAGGGGAAGAAAAAAAAAACAACGAATTCTCTTGATAATCTCTTGTTACGGTATTGTATTTATCTATATATATATATATTATATACTTGTATAAATACAAATTCGGTGCAAAAGTTTAACATTAAATAGGCGTTACAAAAATAATAGTTAATGTATATCACTTATATAATACTCTTCTGATCTGGAAAAGCAAATATGTATGTATGTACAGTGTACATTGTAATATAATAATAAAAAAAACATAAAAGTAACAACAAAAAAAAAAATTTGTAATATTTTTCTTTTTCGCAAAGGCATCAAAGGGAGATGTATGTATGTAATGTGTAAACGTATGCACATCAAATATGTATAGACGATTTGTCTACAAAGTTTAGATGCTTTTAAATACACATAAACACACATACATGCGTACACCTGTTTGCGCGAGTAAAAAATAAACAAATAATATTAACCAGAAACTGAGGTCTCATTAGCTTATAAATAAATAAAACGGTAATTTAAAACTTGCGTAATATATATATACACACACTGTAATCTTTGTTTCCAAATTAATGAGATGACGAAGATCATGAACAGCCCACCGGACCATTGGCCAGGATGTTTAACAAATTAATTTCGGAACACTCAATTATCTACAGTACGGTACTGAGTTACGTTAAATATCATACAATTTATAATTTAAAAGTTTTCATCTAACATTGAAAAAAAACTTTAATAAATAATTTAAAAATAAAAATAAAAGTTCCAACTATATTAACAATTTATAGTTTGGAATAAATTAAAACATACTAAACTAATATATATATTTAACTGTTATCTTATTAAACTATTTTGCTACAAATAGTGATTTTAAAACTCAATTGTAATTTCATGAATAAAAAATAATAATAACACTTTTGCGTGATTTTTTTTTAAATTTAATGTTTTTATATAAATATATAAATGGATATATGCATATTATATGATGATCATATTTTTAATTCGAACGTTTCAACTCATAAGCTCGGTACCTGAAAATAATAAAAAATACATTGAATTAACGATTCTGATGTTTATATTACGGTGATAAAAGAACAATCAGGGTAGACCCCCCGCCAGTTCGATATAGTAACTAACGAAGGATCAGCGATCTACGGATTCGTCGGTTATCCATGTTCATTGTTTCCTCGATCGTGTTGACAGAACGTGTTGGATGGACTATAAAAATATAGCACTCAATATTTCTAATGAGATTATTTTGAAAAAAATCTTTGTACCCGTTTCTAACGACGACGTCCACCAACCTACACTTTTCCCCCAGCACGAGCAAGTCGGCCTGTGCACGGTCGTTAACTGTTGACCCGAAAGCGGAAAAATCGCCAAATAGACAGCGACAAAGAATTGTCCGTCCGTTAACGGGCGTGGAGCTTAGAGGTGAAGAGGAGGTGATCTTATGGTAGTACTATATACGTACGGCAGTGGTAAATGAATGAGAAATTTAACAACATCCGAGCAAAAAACACGGAGGCTAGGGAAAAAAGGTAATAACAAACAGCAGAAAATACTACACGTGCGGTCACCGCCACTGCGAGAAACTATTCTTGTACGAGAGAGCACGGCCGATTAATTATCGTAGTCGATTTATGGCCGCACTGCGGACGCGCTCGGTTTAATTGACGATAAAAATGAATACGTATAGTTAGACATAAGCACTGCAAGTGCATTACGATTGGTGTATATGTGCGTGTGGTGCGTGTATGTTAAAAAAATATAATAAAAATATGATTCGTTTCGTACACGTGCATGTAACAAACGGACGGAACACTGGCTGAGAAAAACAAACAACTACATAATGTTACGGACCAACCATACCTATCTTCATGGATAACACAAAAATATAAAAACGTCCACGAGAAACTTCGCAGAGCTGACGGAGTACTCCATTATAAGATTGGCAGGAGATCCGTCAACCAAAGGTTAACCACGGCTACCGCAGGATATTCTACTTGAACCCAAAGAAGACACCTCAGATTCGGACACGGATCTAGACTTATAGCTCACCAAAAACTTATAAATATGATTGTAAATTAATTGTAAACTCAAATGCCATTGTAAAAATACTTGGTTTACTGACACAATTAAATTAATAAATAAAAAAGCACTAACTGAAACTCAAGTGGCGCTAATTAAAAATAGCGATGATTGCATGACATGTTCAATATTCAATTCACGTCATCTGCGGTAACAATATTTTCAGGACACAATTCATTCTTTTTTTTCTTACGACAACAGCAAATGCCAAAGAAAATCGAAAGAAAAAAACAGTTGAAACGGACAATCCGTACGTACCAAGTACATGTTAATAACTGAATCGTCATCTCATCGATATCAAGCGTGGTGAAACATACATGTAGGGATGGTCGTTTTGCAGACCGGACGGGTCCTAAGGACGACGTGACTAGAAAACTTTTCGAAATTATTATTATACCGGCAGCAGTGACCGAAACCGCGAAAAGCGACGAGAAGAAGCCTACAGGAGCATAATATGTGTATCGACCGGAAACGACGCGGCCGCGACGTAATGATGATTATAACGATAATACGCGCGTTGCGGTAATTGCGGGATCATCACCGCCTCCCCACACAAGAATTTCAACACGAAAAAGTATGCGCCCGCACGACTTCCGTCGTCTCGTTTCACGTGATTACGATGTTTCGAACTCGGGTGGTCACCGCGGTCTTCCGTATAATAATAACACCGGTGCGGGTTTAAACGGAAATAATCAACGAAGAAATGCAATTGTGGCTTTACGTATGTGTTTGAGCGCGTGTCTCCTCTAATCCTAGATGTATTCCATGTACAATGTTATTGTTGTCCAATGTCAACAACTTTCCGGTGGAATACGAGCACGTATAAACGCACACGCGCGTTCAGAAATAAACCAATGATTTACCAGACTCGATCGATAGAGAATCGTGAAAGTGTTTATTATTATCAAACACTTAACGCGAAATGACGACAAAATGACATTTCAAATTGTGTACAGTCATATGAATTATAAAATTACTTGTAATACAATTATCGCTTGTACGAGACGCGTGTTATTTTTATAATTTAAAATGTTATCTAGTCGAGACTAACACAATGTTAAATGATTACACGTTTCGTTCAAGTGTCATAAATAATCCAATGGTATAATAATAAACAATGGACAAAACGAATAACTCGTGACAAAAAAAAGAAGAAAAAAAAATGGATATGGAAGAAAATTATCGGCTTGTGAACTTACCGAATTACCAAGAACAAATTTACACATAGGGGATAAAAAATATCCTTTCACACTGATGAAAAACGGTTGGTTAATGGTAATAAAAATGCCATTAATTGGTAGTTTGAATTCAATATCTTGCACATAACAATGCGTGTGAAATGAAAAAAAAAACGTGTCAAGAAATATAAGCACAGGAAGCTGGTACATCCGAACAATAATAGCTTACAACACGTCCCCTCATGTATGTTATAAGTGTGATACGAATGAGTGTTAAGACATCAAAATGTTTTCTCACATTCCATCATCGTTCTGTCACACAGTGATCCAATTTAAAAACGCATTTTAAGGGACAATCCGTTACGGTTTGATTTTAAATTAAAAAAATATAAATGAGAACAACTCACCTTTAAAACCAGCTTCTTCTTCGGCGATGAATTCCGGCAAGTCTTCTGTGGGTTCATCAAACTGTAAAAAAGTTTTTAAAATGTAATGCGTGCATGATTCGAACATCTGATGGTCATTGCATTATAATACTATACTATAAAAGTTAGTATTATAATAATTTAAAATAAACGAATTAAAATTGCAATAAAATAAGGCCTATAAAAATTAAATATCCTCAAGTGAATTTAATTTAAATTTATTTGAGTTTGTAATTCGTTACGAAATAATTTTTTTTATAAGCTGCATTTGCAAACTGATTTGAATGCGTCGTTAAGTCTACTTTAGATAGACTTTCCCATTTTTTTTTTAAACGGGGTCCTTAACATATTAAGAAATTAATTTTTGTTGATTTTTATATTTTCAAGTTCTTTAATTATATTTTGTGACAGTTTGGGATATAAAATCAAAAAATAGGAGTCTACCTAATATATGATTTTAAAATTCCTTAGCGTCTTAAATAATCGATCGGTATGTAAGAAATATAAAACGACTAATATTATATTGTTTATTGCAATTCCCTTAAGATACTTGTTTTTTTTAAAAAATAATATCGATAAATCCGTAGTTATTTTGTTTATAAATGATGATAGTTAATCCAAAAATTATTCATAAATAAATTAAATATTTACAGGCAAATACTAAAATCCTTTGACTCGTTATCAATTAAGACCTACATCGAGATATATATAATATAATATTATGAACAATTACATTTTTTTTAGCTATTGAACAGTTATTACTTGAGAGCACAACAGATTGTCGACACTTAATTATTTTGACTAGGTACTTGAAACTTTATGCTGATAAAATGTATTAGAATTCCTATAATTTATATATTTATATACATATGACATTTATATGTAATATAATTTTAACATTTAAATGAAACAGATTGATCTGAAAATACAGTTATTGAGTTAGTTACAAGTTTCATAAATATCTGTAGGTAGTATTTTTCTTTTATAAAATTTCTTCAATTTCTATACAAAATATAAAAATATACACCAATTAAAGCATAACACGTGTTAAGCCCGAAAAAAAAATTGAATAAATTATTATTTACAGTTACTGAGCAATAATCATTCTAAAAAATAAGTGACACAACTAAATGCGAAATTATTTTCATTCAATAACAAAAAAATTTCTTAACAAGTTACCGAACTAATATCTAGCATCAAAACTTACTATATTTTTATGCATTTACATAGAATTAAAAAACTGATGATAGTATAATATAATGCATTTTAAAATGATTTACACTATAAATATATTTAAACAATTTGCGTACGATAAGTGTAACAGCCGAGACAGACTCTCCGTTACACCAATAATCTCTAATTTACCAACACTATAATTTTTAGAGAATGAAAAAAAAAATCGCATTTAAATCAGAACGTGTAGTTATATTTTTAAGCTAGAAAAAAAAACGCGTAAACGATCATTTTTGTTCACATGCTTATTAGTTTAATATTCCCATAAAGTGCGTGCGAAGCAATAATAAACAGACCTAAAATTCTGATACTGTATACTTAATTGCGTATGTGTGGTCTTTTAGGCGCGCGGGATGTAATGATAATATGCTACGTAAAGACAAACGGTAATTTGAATAGTTTTCAATTAGATAGGGCTAATTTAATATTTCGTATACGAGCATTAGAGAAAAGAAGACGACGAAAGAAAAAAACCGTTTAAAAAGTAACCAACGCGCGCGAGAACACCTTTCGCGGGCGGTGTGTGTGTGGGGGGGGGGAAGATATCGGTTCATTTCATTAACCCATTAGAAGATTCACCCCGGCGGCTTAAGGGTTGTTATTAAGTAATTTTTTTCCTATTTAATATTATAATTAAATATTATCATAGCCGTCCTTTTGGCTAAACACTAGTTGAAGGGATATACCACGAGAGCATCACCATGCGATGCATGCGCGCCGTGTCGTGCACATGGCGCTGATGCGTGAACGGTTTTGTTCTACACTTCATATATCACGAGCGACGTCGCACATATGTGTACATATCAAACGTATATGTGTATGTATAAGCACGTACATATATAATATTATGGGTGACAAGTCGACGACGCCGTGGGAACGAGCCTGGAGGTCTGCACGCACATGTACCGTTTTTTCGACACCGAAACACTGCCGGGTTCGATATGGACAGAGAGATAGAACGATGGAATGAAGGCGAAAGATCCAGTGTTACAGTCATTCGGAAGAGCTAAAAGCGCCCCCGTATGCACGTGGTGTCGCAGTTTCACGGTACGTATACCTTCTTCCCCCGATTAGTTCTACACGCGCATATATATATTATAATATCAACCATATTTCGGAGGGAGAAAGAAAAAGAAAAGGGCCATTGTCCTTTGCCTCTCTCTCTCGAACGTCGGGACGCGTCCTGTGCACGATCCAGTCGTAGTCAGACCCCGAGGTAAACGTCCTGCGCCATCGTCATACGCGTATGCACTCGTAACGTCGCCCCGGGAGACACGGAACATGTCACGGTATTAATCGAAGAACGTGAGGAAACGAATCGTGCACAATATAACTACTAAAACCTTAAAATATACTTGTGAAGTTTTCGCGATCAAGCTACAAGAGTCAAAACTATAATTAATCACCGCAATCGTAACGCTTGGTCTGGTATAAATTAAAAACAACCGAAATAATGCTATCCAAGAAAACATAAAATATAATTCATACAGATAAAACTTGATGAATAATACCTTTATAATCCGAAAAATCTGGAATTCAATAGGTGAATTAAAATGTACTTTGAAAATTTTACAACTTATTTGAACAATTTTATAAAAATATAAATATAAAACAATCAATAATGTATTACTGGAACAAACTTAATCTTAAACGAATTCACTATATCCAAACAAACAAAAAAAAGAACACGTTGTTTTTGTCATTTTTAGTTTATGTTAATCACGTAGCAAATATCTACTTGACATCATCAGATTACTTTTCTTCCAACGGTTTAAACAAATGGTGCTATTTAATTTAAATATATAAATATCAACACACGATAAAAAAAATAAAAAAATGTAAAATTGCCACCAATTACATCATTGTTTAATAAAACAGGTGATAGTGGCCGACGGTTGGTCGAACGAAAAAAAAAATACACCTAAGTAAATGGAGCACCAGGCAATTACTTGGGGATTCCGGAGACGAACGAAAAAAACGAACCTGGTAATTCACGGGGCACGTGTCTCGGGTACCAGACAAACGCGTTTCAGTTCAAAAAAAAACGGAAGACGAAAACGCGTCAAGGAAAAAAAAATCCTAAGTAAATAGTTTATTTCAATCGGAACCCATTCAGCTGCCGACAGATAAACTCGATCATTATTATATAGTAGTACAGTGCCAGTGGATATACATACAATACTTTAACTTTTTATACATTAATTTTTTTTTTTTTTTCAGAAATAATACACCTACAGAATATTTATTATGGTATAGCGCCGTGTGCTTTGAACTGCTGCAGGTGAGTTTGCCGGTATTCTGCTTCTGTGAGGTATTATTTACTTAACGTGCAAGTCATCTATTCTAATATCGGTGTTCACGATAAATGGTCGGCGAAGGTGGTGATGTTGTTCCGCAACCGATTTTCGATGCATAATTTATAATGACAACGTAAAAAAGTGTAATAAACAAAACGTATTCATATATAAACGACATAAAAACAAAATTAATACTCATTTATTTAAATGTTGGTTGAATATTTAAATTGAACTCAATTGCCCAAGACAATTATTTAAACATTCAGACACATAATTTTATGCAGAGTGATAGTGCACTAAAACGGCCGATATTCAAAGATAAATTATAAAATAAAAACATGAATTAAAATTAATCATTATTTATTACAACGAGTACATAACTCGCCATTTATTTTTTTTAAAACTATGTTCTCAAAATGGTGGCCATCTCTTCTAGTCTATTTCGTATATTTTCCACTACTCTGAGTACACACACTTTTCGTTCTCGGTTAGTTATTTCGGGTTAAGATTTCTCGACAAAAAGTTGTGTGGCTATAGAGATCTACAGGTTTTAATTTTTGAACCACCTGCACCTTATACGAGTGAACTTTTAAGTCGCTGTGTAAAATCCAACAAAGACTTCTACTGGATAAATTTAACGATAGCACATGTTTTCGCGCAGAACATCTTTGACTCTTTTGAAAGCGCCCTAAAAGCAGCGGCATTTCAGATGTAAAAATTATGTTTTTTCGTACAGACTTCTTTTTTTTAAACACTATTTTTTACCCGTTAATCATTCAAAATATTAATAGCCTTAACGAATAGTTACGAATCTCGCTGTAAGGCTACATAATTATCATTATTTTTTTTAAATCGATTTTATTACACAAGCACGTTCACCATTCCACTATTACACGTTTATGTTTTCTTTAGCTATTTTCTTAGTTTCTCTAAGTGAAATTAAAAATGAATGCGTGATTGTATTAAGAATAGTGTAAAAATGAAAATCACAATTTTTTTAAGTGTTTTTGATGCTGTTTAATTTTATACATCACTTAAATTAAAAAATTAATTTTAAATGCCAATATTATATTTTAACTAAAATAATGGTTTTCAAGTAAAATACTTAGAGAATATATTTTGCTTATTACAAAAAACTAAAAAAAAGTTTGGTTAAAAATTCTAACCTAATCATAATTTATTTTACGCAATATTATTATTAAAATATTGGCTACAATAGTTGATGGGAGTTTAACGACTGTTTGATACTGAGTATAATATTATAAATAAAAAAGAATAATATCGATTTTACAGAGGAAAGATAAATCATTGTCAACATTTAAGGAGCGGAAAGGTCAATAAATACAATAACTCTCCCGGTCAGTTCGAGAGCTTAACTCTATCTGTGGCGACCATTCACTTCACCAGAAATGTTTTTTTTTTTTTTTTTTTTTAAATACTTTACAAAATATATTCCCACTCTCCTTGAATAGCACATGATTTATCGAAATTTCAAACCGATTATTTTTGAGATACCGTTCGCATTTTAGCGATATTTTAGTTCAAATAATTAATTATTTGCCAACTAATATTTATACACCTGTTCGGAACCTATAATCTCGAATCTCATAAAAATATTGGATTTTAATACACAAATTATTTCAATAAAAATTGACTTAAACCACTACAATGAAAAATTGAAACTCTTATGTCAAAACTAAATAATGATGTCAAGTACTAATGTTTTACTGAATAATATGATGATCATATTTATATATTGAATATTTATTATAAATATATATAATTTTAACCATAAATATTCCTATTTTTTCAATTTTTTTTAAAAGTATTACCAATACATGTATAAAAATTATAAATAAAAGTATTATACATATTTAATACCAAAGAATTGAAAAATCAGACTAATTATTTTTACTATAAAACCAAATTAGTTACTAACTTCGGAAATTCGAGTTAATAGTTTTGCTTACCTTTGCTAGAATCAATGTGTCGGGAAGGATTGCTAAATCTGCTAAAGTCGCTTCGTTGTCATTTAACTGAACTCCTTCTGCTGTTTTAAGATGCTGATCATTGGGCATGACATTGAATGCGCCCATGATCTGCGAACACAAAGCATAATAAACATATTTAAATAATTGTAAATTAACTCATTTTATAACTATTAGAAAATATGGCAAGAAAAACATCACCAAAGTAATTATTCTTAACCATATTTATGGTTTTTTAATCAATTTAATAATAAAAGGAAAAAGTAAGTAAATACAAGGATGCCATAGAATGTCAACTATGAATCGTATCGCAAACAAAATAATTATTTCTTAAATGTAACAGGGAAATGAGACATTACATTCTCCAAGCCTCCGGTAGGTCAAGAATAATATCAAATTGTATTCTTTGTTAATAATAGTCAAAAAACAATAAAATTTCCTCCTATATGTTTAAAACTAAATATCCAAGTCTTAAGTCCTACGTCAGTCAAAGTTTTTGCATAAACAATAATATAAAATCAGATAAATAAAAAAAAAAAGCAAAAACATCATACAAATTCTAACATAATAGAAGGAAACACAAAAAATATCTAGCTAGTATACGACAAAAATTATCAAATATAAACCGTTCGAGTATTAAGTATTCATATTTAAAATATAAGGAATTAATAAGTAATAAGTATTTAAAAAAAAAATAAAATAAAAAAATTACTTCTCTTCATATAGTTTTTATAAAATATTGTATTTCTAATATAATTATATTGAACATAATACAGTTTTGAGTGTTTTATTTCTCAAGTGTTAAAATTTTCAAGTTATATATGACTTATTAAAGCTATGACAAATAATATTATAATGGTTGTCCAATTAAACAAAACTAAAAGGCCTTATAAAAAAAAAAAAAAAAAAAGAGATTTATATAGTTATATAGTGATTTATATAGTTAAACACAGATTGGTGTTTGTTAACCTAATCACTCAAGGAACATTGGTCTCTCGGTCAGTTCGGACGAAGGGTTGTTTCAGTATAATGGGTAACAATTAAAATAATCCCTCGACAGAATTAAAGGTCTGTGGATTTTGATTTCTATATCCCGAAAATGATCTATCAATGTCAGCAGACAAGTGATCACAGGTGCAAAGTTAACGGTCAACTGTTTGCCAAAAGGGGTATTTAGTCAGGATTGCATTACGTAGAAAATCTCATTACGAGTGGAACAAAACGCAAACGTATGTGTCAATCGAAAAGTATAAAAAATTAATTATTTAAAAAAATTAACGAGACAACGGTTAAACATTAGAAACGATGAAAAGAATACCAAATTAATAAGTTTAGTATATTGTGTTTTTTTTTTGTACTAACCGAAGAAAAAATCTTTGCTTAAGTTTGTAGGCAAAAAAAAAGAAAAAAGAAAAGGGTTTAGTTATCCAATGTCCAGCAAATTTAGCCTAAAGGGTGGAAAAGTTCTCTCGGGTAAAGTTCACACTCTAACACACAGTTACAATTTCGCAGAGCAGTTAATCACGTCCGCCCGGTGTCCGATACACTCTCTCGTATACACAATGTGTGTAAAACCTTTGAATTATGATTAAAGATATACAAGTGGAGATTGGACGGAAGAGGGACAAGACAGGGTAAGAGTGAGAGCGCCAGATAGAGAGAAAGGGTGACTTCTTCGCAGTAAAAAGCTATTCGGCCTTAGGGGGTTTTGCTGTCGGGGCCAGCACTTACGGTCATTTAACCCTCTCCTAACCTTCATCTGAATGTTCTAGATTAATAATAGAACGGTAAACTGTTTTTTGTCGTCCTCTGGTCCAGCCTGACGTCATTAATATTTCCTCTTTCGAGTTCCCGTCCGTTCCCCCGCAGTCGACTAAGGGTCCGAGTAGTAGTTATGATAACGAATTTGGCGCTTAAATACACGTATCACCCCCACGTCTTCTTACATTGCTCACCCAATGCATTTACATCCTTCAGACGGATTCGTCTCCGGCGGATTACACCCAGTTGATAACGATACTAAATTATACCAATTAAGACGGTCCGAGCAGAGTAATTACGGCACAATCTTTGAAAACATTTGAAAAACTGCTGGAATCAATTTAAAAATAAATGTATTCGGTTAAGATGTCTACTACAGTCGTGAATAATTCAACGTTAAATGATGCATCATAGGTTTCCATTTCAGCTTGGAGACAAATAGAATTATTTAGCATCGAGACGTATTATATTTTTAAGAGTATTCAAGTTTTTCCAAACGTAAAAATATATTAATTTAGACATTTAGAAACATTTAAATAATTGTGCTAAGCTTACAACAGACTTTATCGAATTTTATATTTCTTATAATTTCTTATAATCATTATTATTGTTTATGTGTTAAATAAGTTAAAAATATTACTGTTAATAATTTAGATTAGATCGAAAGAAATGTATACTTTGGTATTGCAAACTAGACAAGTTGAGATTGATTATCGTTACTGAACGTATTCACGTCAAAAAAAAAAATGTTGTTCTTGACGTAAATTCTATACGTATATAGGATAAAAATAATTAATATAATATTCTACACAAATTATTGTATCGGCTGTAAATTAAAATGTTATTTGAATGAACCATTAGTTTGCAGCCAATTAATGATCGATAACCAGTCGTGTACAATTGTAAACATTTTGTTCGGCACGGAAACGATTACAGTCGTGTTAATCTGATTGTATACGTTTATTACACAATGAGTTTTCTTTTCATCGTGCGTGGGCGCAAGCGAGAATACGTGTCGTAAAATCTATTGTTGAGACGATTGACTCGTCGGCGAGAGGGAGAAAAATCAACATAAAAGAACCGAGACGACGGCGCAGCGGCAGTTAAACGCCACAAGTGCGTCGCGAAAGATTCTGCAGCCGGAAGCCTCGAGGGCGTCCCGAGCTCTTATAGCGTTCGGACGCGTTCATCCAGTATTTTTTAACGACCCAACAGGATAACATAATCATATAAAGATTTGCAACGATTTCGGTCAGTGGGTTGGCCAGGCGTACATAAAGGATAATATAAAGCCATCCGCACCGCAATATTACTACTACAGATAGCTACCGATAAATATATATTTACAAGTAGACACTAGTGGTTAATCTCTGGGTTTGCGTCTGCATACTTTAAAACCAATGGTATAATTTCTCGCCATTTCAACAATACCATCTCACAGTCTTGAAAACGTTATTAAGTTTGACGGAGTAACGCGTATGCATTTTCGACGTGAATGGGGTAGTATTTCGCGTAAAACTATAATACTTCCATACGATTTATATTAAATGAGTTAAAATTATTTTAAACTTAGAAAATAAATCAACGGAATATACACATATAAACATATATAACATCCATCCTCTGTGGTACTTTAAGACGAAAATCTACTTTAGGAATGTCGGACACGTAACATACCACGCACGTGAACAAGTCTCCACAGCGGGACTCTGAAATAACGCAAAGCCTCAAGTTACGAAACGTTTAAAGCTGTCAAGCATTAACCACTGACTTTACCGAGAAAACGGTAAAGATGAAATGGGTTGAAGTGTGTGAATATTTATACATACGTCTAATATAATGACCGAGGACAAAGTTTTAGCTAACATGTGTCAGTAACGGTATTTATTGTAATCTTTCCAAAATAACTTTGCGAAGAATACATAGGTTGTTGTTATTGAGTACTGAGTCAATTTTCATAGAACCTCAGATACGTAAACGAAAAAGATTCGATTTGGAAATATTAATATTTTTGAACTAAATTTATTTTAATTTGTTAATATTTCGTAAATGCGATGGGAAAAAACGGATCGAATACTTGATTGACAATATACATGTTAAAATGCAATTTAGTTTAGGTTTTAAAAATATAATATGAATTTGATAATTATTTTTTATTTACTATCAATGAGTAATATCATAGTTATTATAGGCACCAAATAAAGCCTATATATATAGATAAATTATATCGGTAATATTATTTAGTGTCATTTTCTAAGTTGTTTTAGAGTTTTACGTCCATTACTGGGTAGAATGCCTAGATGTGTAAATATACTAATAAAATAATATTATTATTGCAATTGTTGGAATAGTCTGAAACTTAAGAGTATAATTCTGTCGTTCAAACTTCAAAACAGGTATTTTCAATTACTCTTGTCAAATTATACAGTAATATACAGTACACTCATACAATTTACCATGGGGAATTGTAAAACGTTATCATAATCATTTATTTTAGCTATCATAGTTTACACATATTGTTGAGTAGTAAAAAACTAGATAAAAATTCTTCTTTTTTGTACATATCAGAAGTATAAGTATCTATAATTGACTTAAACACTAACATCAATGATTATAAACTTCAACAAAATGAATGACATTTGGTCACTTGCTCTAACAACAAGATTACGTAACAAAATATTTAACTATACATTGGTCTTTATAACATATATGATACATCACATTTTATTACAAAAGGAATACGAACACCCGATTTTCTTCCAGTAAAAAATAAATATAGATTAAAAATTAGTACTCGTAGATTATACGAAATCATGACATTCAAATTTGTATTTATGGTATATCACAGTTATAAAACACGTTCGTTATCTCATGCAGTTTTAAACTTTCAACAAAGTATTAATCAAAACAGTAGTCCTTAAACTTGTTTTCTCAAGTCACATAAATCCGTATACTTTTATCTACTTAATATACTATTCAATTAACAAGTACTTTTGTTCCCCAGAAAATGTTTTTAAGGTCCCCACACACTGCCACGGTGAAGATGGCAGTAGCGGTGGCGATATTAAAATCGCAGACCTGAACACATTGCGACGGTGGCGGTGGCGATTTTTATCCAGTATAAACATAATATATTTATATATTACCATTGATTATAAATATTTATAGTCAATGATATTACATACAATAATTGTATAGTTAATTAATAATCCTATGCCATTAATAAATTGACGATTTATCTATATAGTACGTCAGTAGGTACTATACTAAGTACTTATACTATTGTACATATCATATTTATTATATATATATATATATATATATATATAATATTGTATTGATTATTTGTATATGAATTATTTTTAATTAAGTTAAATAGTATATTAAACTATAACTTGAATAGTTTCTAGGAAATAATCGAAGTCTAGACTAATATACACCATATATATTAGATAGTATAAATACTATTAGCGCATATTTGATAGGTCAATTGAAAATACCACTGAGCGGTGACGGTGAAATCAAGCATGCTGCGGTTTTTACAATATCGCAGCGGCGATATTTTACCGCGGCCGAATTACCGCAGCAATGTGCAGACTTCCATTACAATACGTGTGTACAAATTTAACGCTACCGCCACCGCGGCAGTGTGAGAACCTTTAACAGACCTTTATCATAATAACAGCACACTATTTTGAAAAATTATAAAACTACTTACATTAAGGCCAATCGCACACGGTGCAACTGTTTTGAAACAAAAGCTGCAAATCAGTTGAACGTGCGACTATTTTGGGACCTTAGCATATAGCTACGGCGTTCGCACACGAGGCAGTCAAAATGAGATTAGCTAGCAATCATTTTCCGCGGTTGCAGTTGCGTTGCAATTAAGTTGCATCGAACCATTATATCCGTGCACGTGCTTGTTTTGATTTTCTGTTTATTTTTTTGTGAAACTAAATTGACATAACTGATCCAAAATTAGTCATGTCCGCGTTCGGACAGAAGTTTCAAATTGGTTGTAAGCTCAAATGATTTGCAAATTTTGTCTCAAAATAATTGCACCTTGTGCGCTTGGCTTTCGATTTTAAAGCGAAAACAATAAACGTATTTTATGCTAATAATTTTAAGTACACCTATAAAATTACTTATTTTACCCACTAGTATAAAGTCTAATAGTAGAATATAATAACGTATCGTAACACGAAAATATTTAACACATTCTACATTGAATTGGAAATATCGCAAATAATATTAATGATTTCATTTTTTCGAATAACAATTGATTAATCCACAATACATTTCATATGAACAGAATATGACGGATTTACAATCATTAGCTTACCTTCATTTTGAGATCAAGCAACGTGTCGTTGGAAGAGACCACTATCAATTCGCCCCTAGGTCTTCGATTCCGTGCACTCCTTCTGATGCCCAACTCTGGGTTGCCACCGCCATTGTTGACTTCCATAGGAGTGGTGGCCGTTGCTGAAACGCCGCCACCGTTCACAGCGTTTGAATCCAGTTTAATTTTCTTCGAAGAATTTCCCCATAACTCATCCTGTGAACCGAATGCAAACATTATTTTACATACAAACACAAACATGATTATTTGACGACGATCAAATAAAAAATAAATCTAAAAATTACTTTCTTAGGCTGATATGTACAAAGCGAAGAAGAGATAATATCTTATAGAAAATATTTACACACATATTATGTAATAATACATGAATATACGCTCAATCATGAATACACGTCACCAGTGCGGTAGCGTGACAAAGTTATGGGGATAATACACTGCAGCGCAGGGGTCGGTAATAAAGTCATACAGTCATATTTTACGAGCAAAGATAAAATCACGCCCTCGGTATATTATACGTACACGACACGCAAGACATTCCTAATTATTATAGTCTGTTCCTTTGTATCAGCAGATACCCTTTCGATTATTCGCGAGTGGTACAACGACAGAAAATTTATTATACGGCTGTGTACACCACTCGACGTACGTATATACGTATGTTAATACCTACACGCGACAATAAGTGGCGGAAGAAAAGCCAAAAATTACCACATGATGACAACGATGTTCACCACAGTAGTACGTAAAATGGAAAATAATAGCTTCTGTAACACAATAGTTCTACAGTTAATAAAACGTATTGACGAATTATTAACTTTTATACAATATATTGTTGAGAAACTGTATCACCACCGATTAGCAATATTAAAACTCAACTACATGTGTTGGGTACACGTTAGTATTTCGCCTAATTATAAACCAACAATTATAGATAATAAATCAACTGGAATGAAAATAGGCGATGAAAGTGTTATACATTACTAAAATAGAGAAAAATATTAATACATATAATATATTAAATATATTAATGAAAAATATTAATTTTTTGATTATGATTTTTTCTCTACTTTGTTTACTTTATAAACTACTCAACTAATTTCCGCGAATGCAAGTATAGCATAAAAAATAGTATTACATAATATAAAAGTTTAAAATAAAAGGAACTTGCGGACAAACTCCTTTCCTTTCCGGAACATCTTGTACATTTATTTAACAATCAAATTTTCCTACGATCTATAAAATTCTTAAAACAGATTTCATCACAGCCAACAATTAAACATTAATGACATGTTTAAGACAAATAATAGTTCGAATATATAAAAAAATTTGTAAGTCTTTAAAAAAAAAAAATCCCTTCCTTCGACTGTAAATAGTGTTGTAGATTTCACTGAAATCCTCAAAATTAAAGTTCAAAAACAGAATCGTACTCCAAACATGGCCAGTTGAACAGGAGATGATATCATACTCTCCATACTGACGCCATAAATATGTTAACCAAAACCGAACGCAAATAAAAATAACTGAAACACAGCTCGTTATAAACTATATAATAATATTTTTGACGCCATAACACAATAGCGACATGTTCCATGAACTAGGTGTAATATCGTGCCGGAAGTAAATGTTGAGTCAATTTTTTTTGTATAAACGTGTTTTATTCGAAGATTTATAATTGTTTTTTAATTTTTATATTTTATTAAACGTAATTTATAAAAAAAATCACTTTGTTGTGAGAGTTCGACTACACAATATTTTACCGCGCCCGCCACTAAATATGCCCTTGATTTGTCACGGGCCGACAGGATACCGCTGCATTGTTGTAAAAACAAACATGTACGGACACCCTATTCCGTGCAAAATCTGCAAACAACTATGCATACGCACCAAGTTGTCGCACGATTTGTGATTATACTGCAACGTGTATACCTCCATAGCACAACAGTTCAACGATAGGGTGTTAGGGTGTAGTGGAAAACATTATTGATGAGTAACTTGCGTATACATGTAACGTTGCAAATTATTTTTAATCTCTGTGTGAGAAAAAAAAATGTTTTGCTTCCGTTCCTGTCGATAATCAGAACACTCGTACGAAACGGGGCGTGTAAAAAAAAAAAAGTATTGAAAAAATAATAACTAGGACAGGTACACAAAATATTCTCATCGTAACATATTACAAGTATCTACATATATAATTAAAAACATATCCACCATACTATACAGCCGCGAGCTGCTATAACAGTCCGGTAAGAGAAGAAACTGCTGCTGCAGGAATTATATTTTATAAGAACGATTATTTTTTACCCGAACCAGCGATTATGAGGTACAGAACACGTTGGTTAATTACTATGTTTCGGTAGTATTTATTTTGTTTAGGGCTTAAATTGGGGGAATCCGTACTGATATTTATAGCTGCGCGGCGAACAGGTCTTGTAAAATATGGTATTGAACGCTGTGCGTACACGTATAATAATATTTACCGGTGAAAAGCCATGTATAACACCTAATAATAATAAACATAAATACTTGTATTGGTTATACAAATTATAAGTGTACAAGAATAAATTTTAACCTGTCCATGAAACATGACACTTATTTCTCGAACTTATAATTTTCGACGGTATGAAACTGTAAGTTCGATAAAATGTTCGGCTATTATATATATATATATATATATATATATATATATATATAATATGTCGGTATTGAATCAATGAACTATAAAAGCACCACAAATCCATATCTAGTATTTCTCTTTATAAATACAAGCATTTTTCTCTTTTATCCTGTACATAAGTAATAATTAGTAAACGTTCTATGTTTTGTGGGTTTTTATTATTTTTCAATGTTGAGTAAATAGTTGTATGTATATTTTTACCAGAAACACAAATGTTTATAAGATTTAAAAATATAAATCATAAAAATGTACACGTTTTTCGGATATTTTCAGTGTTTAAATTTTAAAAAACGATACCAATGATTATTATGAAATTTGTATTCATCATTGACAAAGACATTGACAAGACACTTTTTAGAAATATTTATTGTCATAAGCCTGCGTCTACATAAAAAACAGTGGGGAGAGTGATAATCACGTCAGAGACTTTATGCCGGGAAAAAACTATTATAACTATACATATATTCGCACATTAACGCAAATAAAAATATGCGAACATCGTTTTAATTAAGTTTTAGAACTGGAATCGTTATGTGGTAGTTTATTCATCCAATCCACGGGTTACACCTAAATATACAAGAGGTAGATAGAGACGTCATGGAGGCGACCGATATCAGTTGTTTTGCGCGATAGTGCTGCGTGCTCGGCTGAAGTGTCAAGTAATGAGCGACAGATGAGCAAGGGGAAATAAAAATAAAGAAACGGACCGATTTCACGGACGGTAGACCCTCTCATCGTCCAACAGCAGTTTACCGGTCAGAAGGAATGGGGGGGAGAGGATGTACAGACATCGTAAACCACAATAGTAATTATTTTGACAGTCCAGACGCGCGCACATACGCCCCGAGGATGTATCATATAAATATAATGTATACGGTTTTTTTTCCTACCCACCCTTGTTCCCGGCGTTCCGGCGGGGTTTAACGTCCGACATAATTGTGCTTGTTCTGATTTGTTAGCCGGGGTTCAGGTAATTATAATACCGCGGTTGAGGTCTCGGCGAGCAAGTGTTCGTGCGTGCGTGCGTGTGTGTTTGTATACATAAACGGGAAGTTTACGATTTGGCACATGATTACAGCAAGCGCGAGTGGTGCAGCATCAGACACTTATATAATAGTGCGCGCTGCACATCTCTCGCACGATGGCTTTATTACCGGAATATTCGCCAGCAGTGTCTGTTTGCTACGAGAGAAGAGTCCCATTATTATAATGACTTTCTTCGCGTTTCTCCTCCGTCTTTTTGTCGGCTCTCATGAGAAAATTATCGAGTTTTACGATCGCTGCTGCCACAGCCGAAGTTGTATAGATATACTATAGACGAACTAGTAGTGGCGGCAACGACAACATACGACTCTGACTCCAATAAAATGTACATGTTGCAAACGCACGACTTACGCATGGTAATTTTTTTATTATTTTAATTTGTTTATATATCCCTTTGTCAATCGTTTTAAACACACACTAGACTATACCACACTTACTATGGTGGACAAACCAGTCAAATTAATAGACACTCAACTCACTAACTATACCTATACAAAATTGACTATATGAATCCTTACTTTAATTTGATAAACGCTTAGAATCCACAAAAGATATTTAAAAAGATTGTTTCGAACATATAATCATATAATTCATATTTTGTTTAATAATTAAATATTTAACACAAGTAGACGAGTATTCTTTAAAATATATCTCCGAAATTAAATAGAAAATCGTAAAAAACCATTGAATCATAAAAAAGAACCTTGATAATATTAAAAATATCCACTAGAACTGAATTATTTAGAAAATTGATTACATTTTTATTAATAAAATTATTTTTGACAACAAAATTATAACTAGAGCTAAACACCAATAACGCTTTAAGTGTCTTGAAGGATTACAAAAGTATTAAAAGAGAGAAGCTAAATTTTGGAATAGATAATTTGAATAAGAACCAAGGTATTTATATGATGATTTTTATAAGCATTTTACTTCTTCATTTAACATTTTATATCAAAATCCATATTTAATGTTTTATTAGACACATAAGGAGGGAGGCAATCATTATTTTTCGAGAGCAATTTTTAAATTTTGTTTACCGTTTAGAAAATTAGTAATTTTAATTTAAAACATATCAGAAACTGCTGACAATTTCTTTACCGAGTATATAAAATTAAAACAATCTTAATCACAGTATAGAGATATGTTTAAAATCGTTTTTTGAATACAAATATTTGCAAAACTACTAAGCTATTACCTTATCATAGCTTCCGTTGTGTTTGAAGTTAAGCTCACGTTCTTCTTTTTCGACCACTTTAATGAAAATTTTTGCTTTATTGTATTTTAACTGTTCTCTTTTTTCTTCGTCTAGCCTTCTCTGACGACACGGTTCACAGAATTCTATAACAAAACGTTTAATTTTTCATTTAACAAGGTAACAAGTATGGTTATTAATGATAGTTTCTATATACCCTTAACAAAAAAAAAAATTAAAATTAAATTCTACGTATATTTTTTCATATATTAATCTTTAAAAACGCGTCATTAGTATTTTTTTCCCCTTTTAGAGCGATTCAAATTATCTTTGGGTCTTGTCCCAAGATGAGCTATCCCTTTTGCACAGAGAGGGATAAAAGCGCGACAAATGCCTTGTCATTTATTAAACCACGCTGGGATCTCGTTTCAACCTGCTTGTGTCCAGGGGAGAAAAAAGGTTTGTCTGAAAAAAAAACCGATACTTAACGACCTTTTTTGGAGGCAAAAAGGGTGGTAAAGAGGTTTCCCGGATTTCCCAACTGGTCGTTAAACATATTGAGCGACTATTAAACTGATGGTCTTTTTATATAGGACGAAAAAAGAAAAGAAAAAAGTGGTAAGTCAAGAAACCTAAATTGATTTTCCAGCGTTACGTTTGTTTTACATCATATTCTAGAGGGTGAAGTGAAAGGTTTTACTTTCCCGCTATATTTCATTTAAACGACGACAAAATCAAATGAACTGAAACGCATTCGGTTATCTGCAATTCGCTGACCACTAACAAAACATGCTTCATTTAACTATTTTGCAAGGGGAAGCGATAACAAATCTTTTTACGTAAGTGTATTATTTTCCTTTGAAATTAAACATCATTATTTTCTATTATTTCAAACACAATTCAATAAAATAATATTAGCTAATAAGGCCTAAAAATAACTATTTATTAATACTAAATAACATACTAAAATATTAAGTATCTACAATTTCATAAGTTATAATTGATAAAATAAAATACCTTATAACTAACTCTTGTAACTTTAAATTTTGTCTACGAAATACAGTAAAATTATTTGGGGTTATTTCAATATAATGCGGAATAAATTAAAAACAGTATTTGTAAAAATAAAATATAAAATATTACCCCAGTAAAAATTATATTATTTCAAACCATATTGCAATAATAATAACATTTAATTATTTAACAGTGAGACTCGAATTGCAATTAATGTTTGCTTATGAAATTTACACGACGTAAGTAAAATTATTATAATTAAACACTATAGCTGATAGGTCTCGTAGAACCAGAAATGACAATAAATCAAATTAAGTTTTTTAGTCCGTGAGCTGCACTACTCCCCTCCTCCCGTTATCCATGGGCACGGCACTAACGCCACGCGTATGTAGTTTAGAATCGCCACATTACGAATGATTTAACGGCTCCGTGACACGACAACACACTAGCTAAAGGGCGAAGGGTGAAACGGTTCTTGGACCCGATTAATATACAACCCTGTTTGAAACGCAAACTGTGATTTCTTGTTCCATATCTTTAATTGGATTCACCGCAAACATGATCAATGCATTCGGCCCAGATAACAGGGTCCAGCCATAACGTCTACGAACCCCCTTGGTGCAGTCGAAGGTGACCTTTTAATGATTTACAAGCATTCCCATCACGTTTCTCACACGCGCGCGCGTGTGCATACACAGATATTCTCTCTTCTCCGTGTCCCTCGTAAATGAATTAGTTTCTTGCCACTGCGTGTATTGTTGGTTGTGTATGTGTGTTTAGATATATGCGAAGCAAGATGACCTCCTCCGATTCGGAATTGAAATTCGAGACTAGCTATGGGGAGTCGGCAGACGGGGCAAACACGCGATATTAATTCGGAGGCGCAAAAACGAGAGAAGCAGTCCGATGGGAGTGGTGAGAAAAAAAAACACTGTGGAAGGAAGCGCTCGGACCAAAGTTTCGGGTTCTCCTGGGACCGTTCCAAATGAAAATGCATTACCTCGCGTTGGCCATCTTTCTTTTGCTGGCATTCTTAATAAATTAGACTAATTTGCTAATGACGATATAGTAAAGAAAAAATGAATGCTAAAATTTGAGGTTTTTCTAAGTAAAATCAACATATCTTTTTTTTGTACAAAACAATTTTGACTAGATTCCAAGGAAGAAAAAAGTCTCGTGTTAGAGATGCATAAATAACAAACAAATTCGATTAGAAAATTGTCATTATTTATTATGTTTCGACGTATTAAAACGTTAAACCTTATACGAAATTCATATCAGTGGCGTAACAATGGTATTTTATTTTGGAACAATTATAATTGTCTTCGGAATTTGGTGGTGGGTCAGCGGATATTGTCATATACTGGGCTTAAAAATAATATTTTTAATATCTTAATTTGTAGGACTACAGTTAACGTGTAATAAATTAACTAATTAAGTAATAACGAATAACAAATACAGAAATATTTTATAAATATTAAATTATATGTTTTAATGTATTAAACAAAACCGCCAGTAGGAGTTAAATTTATGTATCTTATATAAATGTTAGTTCTTCACCAAAAATTAGTCCAGCGCACTACTGATAAAAGCATACACTGTTGATACTCCATATTGATTACAAATGTATTAAGATTGTTGATTTTTTTAAAGTTACCGAATCATTTTATTTTTAAATTATTAAAAAATAATTATTTATTAATGTAACGTAACGTGTTAATTAATTTTTAGTTTTACATTAAATAAAACAAATATAATTCGATTTAAATCATAAAAAAGTTCCAGGCACAAATATTTTGAGTTTTAAATAATTATGTATCTTGTTTCTAAGTGAAACGTTTTTTAAACAAAACTAAAATATATTAAATTATTAAGTCGTTTAACAGGCGCTTTAATAATCGTTTTTTTGAAAAATTTAGAAAATTTTAAACTTATTTTATAACTTTATTAATACTCAATAGCTGTATAAATTTTACTCATTAAAATTTGTTAGTTTTTATTTTTCCTGTTTTCGTGTACACGATAAAATATATCAAATAAATACATTGTACATTTATGTAGGGAAATAACAAAAAATTAATTGAAGTTGAAAATACTATAAATTATTTCTTAAATAATTGCAAAAAACACGTTATATTAAAAATACAATCATAAAATCAAACAGATAATAAACAACTAATTAATAATTAAAAATGTGTGATGATAATTGTTTTAAAGATGTGATAAATTACCTGGTTTGGATGATTTAAACACTCCCAGTTCATCAAAGTATACATAAACTGCATAATCAGTTTTGTAACAACGTGAAAGAATCTCCCATTCTTCTACAGTTAATAGTTCTATTCTGAAACACATCAATTACAAATTAGATTAAATAAAGAAAATTCGGTTCTATTCTATTCATCGAAAATATTGACCACAATAATAACTAACAACATAATTCTACAATCCAAATCACCTTTGGTTAAACTACTTGAAAAAATATACTTATTTTTAGACAAAGATAAACTAAATGCAGTCTTAAAAATAAAATAATAATCATTTACAGCTAAGTAAGAAATTAATAAATGAAATGAGAAAGCAAAGTTGTTTCATAACAATGTCTTAATTATTTTAATTTAAGAAAAAGTTTAAGTATAATAAAAAAAAACTATATCTAATATGCTAAGAATAGATATTGTGTAGTGGATTAAATACTAAGTGATAGGAATGCGCGCGTCCACGTTTTTAAAACGTAGCGATTAATCGCTCAAAATTAAACATGCGCAATACAGTGCAATCGAACATCACCAGACCCTACCAAACACGAGTTCATCTTCCTATGTAAATACAACCCATATAAAAATACATGTTTAATTTTGAGCCATTAATCTCGACGTTTTAAAAACGTGGACGTGTACGTTCGAATCTCCTTAGTATGTAATCTAATTAAAATTTCGCTCATTAGATAGATTAGATTTGATGACTTTTTAGTTATTTTTTTATATAAATGTTCAACACTGTATTTTCAAATAATAACACTAACGATCGACCTTCGGTAAAATTAGCTTAAATAGAAAAATATAAGTTTGAAAGTAACAAAATAAAATAAAAAACATACTAACACCTTAGTTCATTGTTAGTCTATTATTAATATTATATTTACCAATTGCACTTAGGCAAACCTATTATACAATTCACAATTCGTAAAAATAATACGTAGTTCTCTGAGAAATTTCTTAACTTTAACGAACGACAGACTAAAATAAGATTCTTATTGATATTTTTAGTGTATAATTAAATTTTAACAATAAAACAAACAGTAAATAATTTTTTTTGAAATTTGGTTAAATACATACATATACATTTCTTTATCACATATCTATGAAGTAAATATTGATTATACATAGAAAATTAATTTTCTTAACTAAGATGTCATAGCATCATTATGACTGTTAACATTTTTACTAGAGAAATATGTATAACCCTGTGAATATGGAAGATAGACACGAATACAAATAGTAACGGCATACTCGTTTATAAAAGCGGTAAGTATTTGACCACACATTACCGATGACATAAGCCAAATTAGAGAAACTACTGAAACACGGCAGCAGCGGTGAAGGATGACCTCCCTCAGCAGGGTGCGGGCGGCCACAGTGGCGGTGGCAGAGGCGACGATAATACTTAATTAATTGGATAATTTGTTAAATACTGACGGCAGCTGACAAAAACACATATCCTGCGGGCACGACCGATTTGCATAGTCGCCACGGCAGGCACTCGCTCTAGATTTGCATAATCACCGCCACGTTAAATTCCTCTCCTCCGGACCATTCGCGCTAGAAACGGCAGTAGCAGCAGAGACCAATAAGATTGTTTCGCGCCCGTACCCCCTTCTTTCATGGAATAGATGCATAAGCACAATATCCCGCCCAGCTATTAAAAACCATTTTAAACAGACCGAAAATATTATAATTTCCCGTCTAACCTTACTATATATCTCTCTCTTTCCATGTATATATATAAATATTTATACTATATATATATATATATATATTATATACAGAATACAACGACGGTAACAGCTATGGTTGCATTACTGCCATGACTTGACCCATCGAAAGCCATCACCGGAAAAGAACTAACGCGGAACGAACTCATAGTCAAAAGGGGTGCCATGCTGCCACCATCACCATCGAAAAGAGAACGAGTAAATAACAATAACGTAATATATATATACTATACTGTATACCAAGAAAATAACCACCACAGCCCATGGCGAAATTAATTAATAAAAAACTAAGGATGATCGCATCGATGAGAACGACAAAACCCTGTGAAATTACAAGGCAGAGAAAATTGCACCACACCTCGGTAGGTCTACGTGTCATTTCAAATCCTGACGGCAAGAAGTTTTTAAAATGTGATAAAACTAACCGTGGATCGTCGACTTTTAACACTTTTCCACTAAAAAAAAACATGTTGCCGTGACACCAGCTACTATGTAAAAAATGTAATAAGTACTACTAATAAAAATTTGTACACCCCAATATCGAAATTGACAACGAGTAAAAAAAAAAACACAAGACGAATAATAATATCGATTCACGTTCTCGAAGACACTAAATAGCTTATTTCAACTTTTTAACGAATTTTTATTGTATCAAAGTATAAATTAAAACCATTGTACGTTCCCTTATCACATCAATTGTCCACTTAGGTCGTCACAGAACCAAACATTCTCAATAAAGTAAATGAAACACAACACATCCATTTTTAGTGAGACTCAACGACACGAAATTAAAATCAACTAATCTCTCCTTGTAATTTTTTGACTTGACAAACTCAACATTTTTAATTCAATACTCAGAAAAAAGCCAAATAAATACGATATTTTCAGTTAAATTCACATAAACAGTTTTAATGTAAGAAGTATAGTGATTAAAAACAAAAACATTTCAACTTTTATGATGCTTACGAAAACGTTTATTTTACACTTTATTGCAGTTTATATAATTATAATTACATATATATATGACATCAATTTATATCATCATATTTTTAATGACTATAATACAAACATTTGTTTTTTATTCATTTATTTATTTAATGATAATAATATATAATTTTTATTTATTGATTTAAGATTCTTTATTTTCGTTAACTTTATTTTATTATTGTACTAAAATGTAAATACATACACATTTTTTAGTACAATTCTACCTACTTTCGTGTGAATATATAAATTAATAAGCTAATCACTTTTAAGAACCACTAAAATAGCATAATTTATACAGATATAATATGTAGATAGACAAACACTGTCAATCATAATATAATAAATTGTAGATACAGTTATCATTTTTAATTATTTCTAATGATTTTTTTAATATAAACACATTTTACATTTACAATTTCATTATTTACTTAAAAATACATGCACTTCGAGTTTTTGAATAATATCTAAGTATGAACACGTTGAATGATTTGTAAGTCCAATTAGCTACATATAATATAACAAAATAATATTGATTAACTTAAGGAAGAGATCCATTTAAATAAAAACTTAAGGTCGTGTAATATGTTTTTTTTTTCTAATTAAGAGTTTAATATGACACAACAAAACAACACTAAAAGAGAGTGATAAATATTAGTTCGGATCAGCTCTACCAGAAAATTAATAATAATATTTTAACCTTCCTATTTCGACTACTTTATGAGTATAAATTCGATTATAATTATATATATATATATACATACATATAATAGTAGATGGCCCAGCAATGCATTACTATTGTAAGATTTCATTACATTATATTATTATCCTACCAGTATATATTTATTTACCCGTGTAAATTATGGATCATTTTTATGCGATCTACAGGGCTCGTAAGTTCATGCATTTGCATATTTTTTTTTTGCTATATCAGAAAACATGCTAAGTGAGATACAAATTCATTTCATAACAATGGTAATAAAAATCTAAAGTTTGATAGAACATGAGCATGTTTTTGCATGTTTTGTGTGTATTGACATAGTGAGCACATAGTTGATTTTTTTGAATTTTTAGCACATATTATTTTATCTAAATTCAGCAAAATCGTTTTTCGTGGAAATTAAAAAAAATTAGAACAATAAATGTTTAAATTCATTTTTATTTATTTTTCCAACCTTGTTTACAAAATCTTAGTATTTCTATTTTTATATAACATTGAGTTTTATAAAGTTATAAAATATTAAGTTATTAAAAGCTGTACTACGGAAACAATGTTACTGCTCACCGTTACAACCCTCCTCCTGATGACGTGTACATTGCAATCTATCAATTTATTTTTGTCGTAACATGTGTTCATTAATTATAACTTTAAAAAAAAATGAATGGATAATTCTTATTCTTTTAAAAAATACTTATATATTTATTTTTTTATGCATAGTTCAAGATTTTGAATGCATATAAATACATATTTTGAATTTTTTAGTGCATATTTAAATATTTTTTTATCTTATGTCAGTGCATAATTGCATGCTTATTTATGCGTTTTTAATACATGGCCTTACAATCCCTGGTGATCTATAATCAATAATTTATTAGATATAAATATAAATAACTGTTTTTTCCATACGTATAACCACAGTACCAATAATACTTAAAATCCAGTTTTTCAGGATGGCATAATAGGATTACCGAAATCTCTGGCTAACAAGAAGCATTAACACAAAACTGCGTAAAAATTGGTCCGGAGTTTTTAAGTCTATTTAATCTCAAATACACAAACATACATATTAACATAAACAGATACTCAAGCTAAGTTTTAAATTTAATAAATAACAAATTGAAACTTAAAATAATTCAATATAATTATCAGTACACACATGGAATAATTGCTTATAAACTAAAAAATATAATAACATAATTATTAACAAATGTATTACTTACGGATTTTGTTCTGTTGGGTATAATAATGATGGTGGTTCAAATAATAGTCCAGAGTGTTCTTTGCAAAGTATTACTTCGTTAACAATTGCATTTGGCCTAGGTTCTTTAGATGGATTTCTGTAACAAATTAAGATGCAATAGTAAATAATTACATATCTACTCGAAATTGATAAATATTTCATATTCACGGGCGAAATATATGGTGATTTAGTATATACTGTGTATATAGCTAATATTATATAAATAATATAATATTAAATAATCGTATATATAGCTAATCATTAAACTTAAATTTACTAAATTATTCAATAAATAAATACTGCTTCTTTAATTACATTATCTTATTTTACAGCTATAAGCCGCAATCAGGGACGGATAGGCATAATCTGACCGGCCCGGGAAAAATTGAATACAGCAGCCCACATGATTATATCCAAATTCAAACTAAACAATAACCTCAACTTTGAGAGAACCAACCCAACAATCACCACCTTTTTTGTTAACATTCTTAAATAATATTTAAAATTATAATATATGTTATACTATCCAATTTTACATATGTTTTGCTCTCTTCTAACTATTTTACGATTTTTATCCCTTTTATTTTCTGCATCTCCTTTTCGTTTTAATTCGTTTTGAAGCATAACTGGTTATATAACGTTTTAGCAATATTATACTATTTACATAGTTCGCGTATAATTATTGTAGAAAAACATGATATACTCGTATCAGTAATCAACTTTGCGTGTGGTTTTACTAGTGAATATATATAATAATTTAAATCTAAACAATCAGTTATCATTATAGCACGGAATTATATGCATTAAAAACCAATCAAATATGCGCTAAAACAGTGGTGGCCAAACTTTTTTTTTCCTCGGGCCATAAAAAACAACTTTTTTTTATCGCGGGCCATAAAAAAATGCATTCTAAATTTTTTTTTACGTAAATGCAAAATATTACAGTTATACAAATAAGTGCTGTAATATAGAAGACTTTCGCGGGCCAGATATTAAATGATGGCGGGCCGGAGTTGGCCCGCGGGCCGTAGTTTGGCCACCACTGCGCTAAAAGATCTTTAACGTGCACAAGTATACACATTAATATGTTAAAATATGCATTAAAGAAAAAAAAATTTGCACTCGAAATTTTGAAGAAAATGTAATTTTTAATTTTTGATTAAAATAATACATTAAAATAATACATAAAAAAAATTACATTTAAAATGATGTAACCCTACTGTAAATACTTTTTTTTCTTCTTCATTTTAAAGGAATTTGCTATGATATTTATAGATTTAAGCTAGATTTAAATATATATTATCAGTATTATATTTATTTACTTTTATTTGTATATATGTACTTGTATAATAGTATTAGTAGTAATATTTTTCATTGGCCCATTTTCGTCAATATAAGTAGGGGCCCACCAAGAAAATCCCGGTGTCTCGGCGGCCTTATCCGCCCTGGCCGCAATACTAACGATGAGAGACAAATTATAGCGGGAAAAAATATTTTAGATACAATTATAAAGCCAGACTACATAAGTAAATTAATTAAATAATTATTTTAACACAAATGAAGCTTTTTTAATTAAAATATTAAAAAAGTAAGGTAAAGTATAAAAAAAAACCCTAATGCTCAATTCGTATAGGTATTCTTAACTTTTCCTGCAAAACGGACGAATTTGACTTAATAACAAAAATCAAATTCGTCAGTTATTTCCGTACTAAAAACACGGTTGCAGTGGTTTTAGAGAATTATTATAACGTCAACTGTCGCGGCGGAAAGTCTGTTATCGAAAAGATATAATAGTAGGTGTATTATAGATAATGGTTCACAATGACAAAATTAAAAAACTTTTTCAAAAACATCGACCACCACAAAATCAGTGCTTATTTATCGGAAAAAAAAACAAATAACCTCGTTACGACAAGGGGAAACGAGCATGCGAGCACGGTAGACTCGTCAGGGACGGTACAAGAGGTATATGGAAAATGAGGAGCAGTTGTCCGCGGCGGTGAAAAGGTGGGATGATGGCGGCGGTTACTGAGTCGTTTGAGAAATGATACGTTTTGTCAGCAGAGGGTCAGAAAGAAGTGTGAAGCGGCGGCGGCGGCGGCATGTGACGTCATTAGCACACAAGACCACCGGCGCGAAGAGTCTGTCGTCCTGATGGCCAGCAATCCATCTAATCGCGATAGCCACCGTCATCCCTAAGTCCCGTTCATCACACACCCCCGGTACGGTATCCTTCGATCGCGCGCCCTGCAAATATCCTCTTGCGAAACCTGTACAATATGACTTTAGAGCTTCGAAAACACTACTACTGCAGAGACGGCGGTAACGTCGAACACGGCACCAGCAACACATGTCGACGACGGCCGGCTATCAGTTATCTTTACTCTACAGTTTACCGTAGTAATATCACCACACCCCCGCGAGGGCTAAAACGTGTCCGCACGCAGAGTAATAAAACACACTCGCACTGGCACCGCTACACCGCAGTAGTGGTTCCTAAACTTATTATTCTCACTTCTAGCTTAAAAAAAAATTCCCAGCAGTTCTCCTTAAACAATTAGCTTGTCAATGACCCGACGCAGATCGATTCTCCGAAGTGCTTATTGGCAAATATTAAAATATCGACGGGAATTACTCTACATTCACAACAGATCAAATATGGTACAAATCAGGGATGGGCACTCAAAATTACTAGAGGGCCAATTTTTAGAAAATTAAAATCCAGCGGGCCAAAGCATAGGAAAAAAAGGTGATTCAAATTATGAATTTTAATTAGTATTTATATACACTGAAATAATAAATCCAACACACACGATAGCACGACACGAATGATACGAAAAAACTGATATAGTTAAATAGTTCGGTACAAACAGCTATGTTGAAAGTTTTACTATAAACCAACAGTGTTGTTTACCTTGTATAGATAACCACCATATTCCGAAATGTTGTTTTCAACATCTCTCAATTGCACTTGTGACTAATATATCCTTCCCACCCCCAAGATTGTTTAAAAATACTCTTGGGGCAACATCATCTACTTTGGAAAACACCAATACACAGTAACATAGTACAAGTGAGTTCACAACCACCAGTGACTAGGTCAACATTCAGATCCAACGGTGGACGTATATATGAACGTACATATACGTACGTTCATGAACACGCGTCAAAGAAAGCGCCATCAAACAACAAATGACGTGCAGCCGCTGCCACTGTGAGGGGAAGGTAAGCAACCACCTATTTTCCAATAAAGATTTTTGGTCATTTGCGGGGACACGATGCCACCACAACAATTGCCTGTACTTTGCCCTCCTATCCTTTTGCTCGCTCAACACTTTGTACTCATTTAACGAACAGATTTATTTTTATTGCACTCGTGATATACATAATGCAATATACTATATATAATAAAAAAATATTCTTTTTTTCATCTTTCGTTTCAGTCGTAGGTTTATCTATTTATTATTATTATTGATGATTCTCTTCGTGTGCACACTATACAGGATTGACTACAAAAATCCGGCGTTAATTTTAAATATACCAAGAGTTTTTAAAATTCTTAAAAATATGCAAATTATAAGATTAAATAAATAACGCAGCTTTCTATTGATAATAATATAGTTAATTAGTATTCAATAAATAGTTTATGTTCTATAATGAAACATACTTCGATGTTAAAATAAAATTTGACATAATAATAATGTTATAGTTTTACAAAATTATAACGCTTTTTTCATTTGACAAATTACTGTAATATGCGAAAGACAAATTAATTTCAATTAATTTTCTTTCTCCGTTAATATTTTATATTATACATCACATCACATTATAAAAAAGCAATATATGCTCGAAGATCAGAAACGATTTAATCAAACGATCACCACCACAATACACGCATGCATTTGGCCAACGGCTAGCTTCCTTTTGTGTCCGCGCAAGTATGATAACATAATTTATAAACGTTCCTTAACGTCCGAACGAACACGCAAAAACGTATATCCGTATATACAACACCAAATTTTGAATAATTATACATTGTCTAATAATTCTCGAAAGACCCTTTTCTCGTAGCTCTTAAAATGAAAGGTCGTCAAGCATAGAGCAGTAGCAGTAGAAGGCTCGTAATTTCGCCACGTATTGTTCGACGTGTCCTCGATGGTTCTCTGACCACAACCCGAATATCTTCTGACTAATTAAGTGTGAATTATTAATTACACATAACGATCCCTGTAACAATACCAAAGGCGTCCCTTTTCGGCTTCACATTGTCCTTCAAAATTTTTGATTAATTATACCAGCTCATAGAAGGATCTGTAGTGGTAGGAGAGGCAACGTCGACGTCTCAAAACTATTATTATATTATTATTATTATTATTCTGTCGCCAGAAAGTCCGTTTTAATAGTTCTTCGTACATCAAAATAATACAATATTTATCAATGACGGAGTAATCTCGAAAGCAGCCAGCAGAAAAGAGCATCTAAAAGAATTTTACTTATTCGACACGAACCAAATGTAAAGGAAAGCTGTTTAGAAGTTCGGAAGGTTAAAAGCTATTCATGCATGCTAAATCGAATTTTCCGCACCAGCCCACTGTACCGTAGCTTGATTGTTTACGAGTTTATAAACCAGTAAAACTAAAAAAAAATTACTAGTTTTGCCTTCTATCTAACTTCTCAAGATATTTTTTTCGGGTTTTTCTTTTCAATGTGTAGAATAGAAATGTTGATAATACATTATCTCTTAACATGGACACTAAACAGATACAATATAACAGAATACTAAACATTTCACGTTATACCAAGATAACAGTTATAAAATTTAAAACGTTATCAGAAATGTTGAAAAATCATACTAGAACTGATAAGATTTCACCTAGTGAAATTAAATACCGTCACATATACTTCTAAATAAACGCGCACGAATTCAACAATTATGAAAACAGTGAAACTCTATCAAAAGCCGATCAAATCATTTATAATAAAGATTTTAATTCTGAAAAATATGTACATCTTCAAAATTAAACAACTGGAAAATATACATAACAAGCTGTAAGAACAACCTATGAACAAATGTGACAATAATACATTTGTTACATA